ACCTGAGCGAATGAGGTCGAGGACTGAATCGTTTACCATTGGTGTTTCGGTAAAAAGACCCTTTCCGCTGTTGGATGCTGGTGAAATGTCGTAGAGATCGCGGTAGAAGAAGAGACGTAGGATATACTCCGGAATCCAACTGAAGATGGTCTCCATGCCGAAGATGTTGAAAGCGAGAAGACTGTCGATGAAAGGGTTCCTCGGGATAATCCACTTCTCGGATCGAGCCAGTACGTTGGCGTGTTCTGCTTCTGCGCTGGCAACGAACTCAAGGGCTTCGACGGCTGAGGCTCCACCGCCTATGATGGCGACCTTCTTTCCTTTGGCCACTTTACCGTCGAGTTGCGAACTGTGCCAGATTTCGCCCCTGAAGTGCTCTTGACCCGGAAGCGTAGGCATCTTGGGATCACCACAGGTGCCAATCGCAGCAATGACGCCATCGAATCGTCCGTGAGAGGGGTCGTTGATGATCCATCGTCCGTGAGGATCTTTGTACACCTTCTCAACACGCATATTGAACTCTGTCTTACTCTCAAGACCGTATCGCTCCCAAAGCGATCTTATCTGTGACACAATTTGCTGGCGATCCGGATATCCTTTACTCCAGTGCACGGAAGGGTGGAATCGGTACATGAGCGAGTGGATTTGCAGACCAGACGTGTTGTTCACCCGGCTCCAAATTCCACCGAGATTCTTCTTGGATCCGGCTTCGAAGATGCGACAGTCGAAGCCATGGCCGACAATGTGCGATGCAGCGGATACGCCTGTCAGGCCCGCACCGATGACTGCGATCTTAGGTCGTACGAGGTTTGCATGCGGTGGCGGCGGTGCTGGCGAGAGCACAAAGTCGAGCACATATTGTATGACTTCGTAGATGAAGAGAATGGGGTGAGTGAGGAAGTATTTGATGTAGCTCATAAAGTAGCCCATCGTGACGGATGAATTTCTCTCGTTGGGAGAGAATGGAGATGGAGAGACGGAGACGAGAAGATGGCTGCGGCATCTTGATATGCATGACCTTGATCCATTTTACGTGACGTTCAGCTTTTCACACGGAGCCTTGCGGAAACGTGCAGTTTCCGATGTTGTGTTTCGCATATTACGACTTGTGATGTCACGGTGGGCCCGTTGCATTGTCCTGCAGGTGACATGTGAAAGCCATTCGGGCTGCAACGTTGCTTTTGACAACACTGAGCCATCGTTGGGCTGGCTTGATTCCGCCTGCTGGCAAGACGGGTAGTTGAAAGTATCCTTAAATTATTGAAAGTTAATCTTCCCACGTTTACTGCTTCCAGTAGTATCCTAGCAGCCAAAGTCGACCCAAGCTGATGGAACGAATGAGAGACCTCGTCCGGATCGTCGACAGGGATGGGGCGGATAGCGAGGTCTGGAGCTAGGACCTGACGCTAATGCGAAAGCGGGCAGCTACTTCTATTTGCGCTCCACCCTCTAGCTCAATCCTTCCTCAACCACCAACGGTGGCTTTTGTAGCCATGTCGTTCTTCCGGGGTCAACCCGATGTAGAGACGCGCTTATGCACGGCAGTTAACGTTGCGATACAAGCCGGAGATCCGCATCAATTGCAGTCCATCGTACTGCTGGAGCCAGGCGAAGGCAATGTTTTCCCGCCAGACCATCAAGAGCTCATCCAGTCCTTGCAGCAGAATTACCCTGCAAACAACGAGCAGTCCGAGAAACGTCTCGAGGATCTTGTCAGGCGAGTTGTCACTGAGACTGCAGAGTCTGAGGATGAGGAGGGCAGACCTATTCAGTCTTGGGGTTCGCTGGTCACCTTCCTCGTCGGATGGATGACCTTTCTCCGAGACATGGACGCAGAGAACCTTGTGTTGATTTTCGAGCTGATGACAGACCTCCAGTCGTATGTTGACGGAAGTGACCATCAAAGTACTTCATGCTAACGCGACTCCAGACGTGCAAATAGCGCATTGCAGCATCCTACCAAAGGCATCTTGATGCTTCCCACCATCATGTACTATGCAAAGGTATTCGCAAGAGTAGCGATTGGATTAGAGAAGAGACCGGACTTGACGATGCATCTCATCACCACCGACGCGGACGAGGATGGCCAAAGCGAGTCATTGCCAGAGCGGGCAGCGAATATCGTGCGACAGGCCTTCATCATATGTCTCAACGACCGCAACACTGTACCCGGAGGTATCAAGGATGGTAAGCCTGACGGGAAGAAGGTTGGAATCTACAAGATGGCAAACATATGTTTGAAGACCCTCTTCCAGGCCGATAAGCTGGGGAGCTGCGAGACCATCTTCAACAACATATCGAACTCCTCACCACCATTACACATCTACCCGGCTGCGGAGCGCATTACCTTCCTTTACTACCTCGGGCGGTACCACTTCAGCAACACCAACTTCTACGGAGCTCAGCTCGTTCTGGAGCTAGCATACAGAGGTTGCCACGGGCAGTGTCCAAAACAACGCCGCTTAATCGCAGTCTGCCTTGTCGCTGCCAACATACTCCTCGGTCGTTTCCCAAACGAACTCATCTACAACGACCCTGCATGCGTGGGCTTCCGGGAAGTGTTCGAACCGCTTTGTCGTGCGATTCGCAGGGGAGACCTTGAAACATTCCGTCGGATAACGAATCTGGACCTTTCCCATCCAAGTGCGGAGTTTATGATCAAGTACCGTATTTTCTACCCAATCGGCAACTATTGCGAGCCCCTCGTATGGTGGTCACTTCTCCGCAAGGTATTCATCCTTACTGGAAGCATAGGGGAAGCATCGAAATCGGCTGCTTTGCTCGACCTCAACGCAGCCGTCCTTGTATTCCGCTTCTTAGAGGCGCGCTCGCTCATCAAAAATGCCGCAATGGCCGCGCAAGACCGTGGTCCCGGCCGTCGCAACTTTGGCCACATCTACCAAGACCATGCATCAACAAGCAAATCGACATACATCGACCCGGACTTTATCGGCATGGAAGGAGTGCAGCCGTACACCCACGAGTATGATTTACTGGAGCTGGAGTGTATATGCGGCAGTCTCATCACCCAAGGTTATCTGAATGCGTACATTGCGCAGGCGAAGCAGAAACTGGCCATCCAAGGTGTCAAGACGGGAAACTTGAGCGCTGGCTTCATCAACCCGTGGGAAGTCAACAAGGAGAGGAACAAGGACGAGGTGCTCGGATGGAAGAAAGAGGCTGGAGGCGATGGAGGTCAGGTTGTCAGGCTTTCGTCCGCGGCACCGGCTGGGATGTAGAGGAAGGTTGCGCATGATACCCTGATACTGAGATCGGATAGGAATATATGCCAGTAAGACTCCATACGTTGTTTGCGCTAATATTGCGGATGAAAGTCCAGCCAAGAAGTCCCCAACGCCGATGTTCTTGCGTTATCTGCAAGGCACGAACCCACTCCTACGGTCGTACCGCCAGCACCGTTGTTACCCACCCATCACCAAAGCGTCAGCAAACTACGATGACCGTGTTGCTTCGAGCCCTCTTGTATTGTACTCTTTTCCCTCGTCGTGGTCTCGGATGATCTACAGTAGAATCGCTGTCACCTATATGCTGTCAGCACCGCATCGACAAAGTGTACTCCGCATACGTACTATAGGAATACTTTCTCGACAAGCCCATGCCTCGACGTCTGGCGAGCCAGGTCTTGAACGCGAACCCAACGCAAGGGATGAGTACGACGATCAAAACACCGAGCAATCCAAAGAGCGCTTCCTTAGACCATTGAGGGTTGGTGATGGATTCATCCGGAGGAGTTGCGTTGGGGGAGACAGCTGGGTGTGATTAGGACTGCGAGGCCGTAGACTGACTAAGCAACATACTATTTGAGGGTATTGCCGGCATTTGCATTGGAATGGGAGATAAATTGTCGCCCTAGGGAAGACGATGCCTCTGTAACCAAGACGGAGCATCCCTTGGCCTTCAAGTCAACTTCCGAGGCCTGTAGTCTATCTAAGTATCCTTTTCTTAGGGGCATAAAAGTGGAAAGATTAGACGCAATCAAGTATAGAGCATCGAAGAGTCCTTTTTTAGTAATCAAGTCTGGAAAGGGTTTGAAGTGAAAGTTGTAGTGATGTTCGATGAGATGTTTCCCTCGAATAATCAGCAGGGAGGGTGAAGGGGATTAAGTAGCACTTCAAAGGGCTGTGATTATTCGTGCCAAGAATTACTGTGGTTGGGCAGGCTGCGAAATCACCACATGACGCGGACTGTCTTAAGGTGGCAACGAAGATGAGTGCCAAGAACTTTCGTGGTCGAAGCCCAAATGGGGAAAGGCAGTGTGGCAACGAATATGAGTGCCAAGGACTTTAGTGGTCGGAAGTCTCAACGGGAAAGGTCGTGAAGAGGCGGCGCAGCTGTACCTTAGCCTTCAGGCAGATAAGATTGATAGGCGGGACTACTCAAGCTAAGTAGCATGATGAGAACACGGACCTGAGATAATTCAATTGTGGTCTCGCCTAGAGCATGCTGAGTCTTGTTAGTTGTCGCTACGAGATGTGCATACACATAGCAGACCATTGACGGGGAAAGCCAAATGCTTCCAAGGTTGGTTGGCAAGGTCAGCTTTACAACCTTCTTCGTGAAATGCTTAATCACATAAGAAACTGCCCTTTATACAGATTCCAGAATAGGGCTTCTTTAATGTTCGGGCTTCTTATTGTGTTGCGCAGTGTGTGTGTGTTGAGCCTGCAAGGCGTTCCATTGCTGGCTACGTAGGTACACTTGTGGTGTGGGGATTCGCGGGTACGGGCGGGCCGCCTGCCATGCTAGCGAACCGCCCCGCGGTCGCGCGTCCGACACAAGCATCACCTTCACATAGTGCAGTTCACTTCGCTACGCTATAACACAGGCATCTCTCACTTGCGATTCTAGTGCCCTATCACCGACCGCCTTCTTGAATCCGCGATCGAATAGACGAGAGCCAGCGCGTGTGCCATAACCCCTTCTAATCATTTTCAACCCACCTTCCCATAAGATCCCCGACTTGTATAGGAAAGCTTATCATGGAACACAACACGACGGAGGAGGAGAAGCAAGATGTCATTCAGTGGTCTAAACCGATCCCCGTCGAGCAGTTCAACGACCCCGCTTTCATGAATCGAAACCTCGACGATGAGGAGCCAAGTTTTGGGGGCAACGGCACTTTGGAGATTCTACAGGTTATACAATTACTGGAGAGATCTGGCATTACCTGCTGTATAGTTGGCATATCCGCTCTGATCTATTACGGCGCTGCGAGGGGACGCAGGGTAAGCTCGAACTGACGATCTGTTGTCCACATTGTTTCAATCGTTGCATTGCTGACCGAAACTACTAGGACTGGGAGGTGTGTGTGCCTACAGAGAAGCTCAAAGATGCGTCTGCACTTCTGAGTTCAGTCGATACCTACGAAACCTATCCACCTCGCCCACCGGGTATGCAATCATTACTCCACACTTTCCCACGATTCAAAATCCGAGGCAAAGCAATGTGCTTTACCTTGATCCCCTCAGACGACGCGCATATCGACTGCATACCTGCCAACATCGAGCGTAGCCAAATGGATCTGCCGTACCCAACTCTAGAGGTGTTTGCACAGAGTCTTCTCGACACCAACGACATGGTCGCACTCACGGATCTCATAGATGGCATGAATCTGACTGAACAATGGGGTTTAGATCATCTGAAACTTGATGGCGAGAATGATTTAGCGTGGGTATTGCGAAAGAATGAGAAGATTCGAGCTTCAGTTCCACTTACCTTTACCTCGTGTCTCCGGGAACTTGCAATTAAACCCATCAACCTGAAAGAGACTTGGATTGAAATTGTCCGAACCAAAGAGCGTCGTATTGGGGAGGAATTGGCAGGGGCGGACTTGGCCACGCGGTTCCGTGGTCGGACATCCCCGGATCCGAGGACCAGAGAGAGGTGCGACGCGTAAGACGCGGACGCAGACGTGGTAGCAATGCAGAATTTTCTGCGTTAACTTCAAGTACTACGGTTGTATACACTACAAAAAACGCTGTTTGATGACTGAGAAAACACTGTGAGTAAGTAGGTCAGCAGCTGCACTCCTATTCCAGGCTACTGGAACATGTTGTTAGTGATGGATGCGTATCAATATTGAACCAGTAATTAAAGCTTTTGCAAAGATAATAGACAAGAACTGTGGTCAACATTGTATTTAAAATTCGAAGTTGACGATAACAGGTTTGGGGAGTTCGTCTGTCTTAAATACCTAACTAGGTATCAATCTACGATCGCCATCACCACTATGATCTGCCCACAAAGTCTCTTCCAACTTGAATGAACCAAAAATAAAAGTTGATTTCGGTTGATGTTCGGCCAGACTCTTATTGAGCTACAACACCAGTGGACAAGGAGGCGATTCGCCGCGGCGCAGTTAACCGCTGCTGTGCCACACAACAAGACTTCAGAGCACACTCGCGCCGACCTCACATGAAAACTCTCCGGCAGAAAAAGAAGCTCTGGCTGGTAAGAGAAATATGATAGCGTGTCGAACCACCACTCCAGATCATCGGGAGCGATCGAAGCTTGTCTTGAGTCAACTTAGATTTCAGACCTGGTTTGCACCGACGTGACAAGTCATAAAAGTCTAGGGCTTCCTAAGTGGCTACTGAGTGTTTGATAATTGAACTTGGTAAGGTCTGGGAGGGTGTAAGGCTCAATCGCCTAGTATTGTTGCGCGCAGCAATAACGCAATTCCGCCTGGGTACGGTTTCCTCCTCCGAGATGCTAGCGAAGCGCCATGAAGTGCCCCATAGCGCCCCTCAAATACTCAATCGACTAAGAAACTACCTAGGTAGCTTGATGGTCACCTTGTGGCTTTCATGCGTGCTAATATGGCGACTGTCGACCACGGCATAGACGCCGTTCGGCCCCGCCTAACGCGCTATGATCAAAAGACATCCGCTCAAGCCAAACAGCTCCTTTCAAGAGAAAGAATCTCGCGCCAGGATTACACAGCTTGTTTCAGGATTCTCGATGGCTAAGTTGGCGCGCACTTTCAGTTTTGAGTCACAGTTTTGAGTCAATTTCGCAAGCCGGTGACTCGAACTGCATATAAAAACGACCAAACGTTCTCTTCTAATCTTCAGACCAGCCACTGGCAATTTCACGTCTCTTAGATAGGTAGACCTTGTTCTGTATATCATTGTGCAATATCCTCTTCATATCACATTCATCCGATCGAACGTTCCCATATTGTCGCCATGTCTCGTTCCCGTTCCACTCAACAACAGCCGGGGACGTATACCCACGAGCAACTGGGTGCCTTGCTCAGACCGGCAAGCCGTGCTGATCTCCAGCAGTTAGTATCTGCCGCAGACTTCATGTCTCGGGTATTCCAAGCCAACGAAGTTCCTTACGCCTTTATGGGCGGGTTCGCCCTAAGGCTTCGAGGAAGCGATCGCGAGACTCGCGACGTTGACATTGCTGTCGGATGCACAATGCTACGTCTTATCGAGGTTCTTTCCGCGCAAACCAGGTGAGTAAGCCAATACTTCATCCAACTGTCCAGCGACAAACTGAGGTCCTAGAATCCGTCGCCCTGCTGGCCCCACGTCCGGCGTGATGAGAGTTTTCGTTTTGGTCGGCGGCCAACTGAATCCCGGTGTTCCAGAACTCTGGGTGGGCGTAGATCTAATCTTTCGCGGTAAGTGTAGTCTTGTATTTCCTCGCGGGTACATGTGAAATGTAAACTGACAGCTTCTTCCACAGGCTCTCATGGTGCCCCAGACCACGTTCAGAACTCTTCGGAACCTATGACGTTCAACACAAACGCAGGGCAGATGCAGTTCCCTGTCATTGATCTCTTGAATGCATTGGCCAGCAAGCTGAGTGCATATTACACGAGACAATCACGAAATGACTTCAATGACATCGGGTTCCTTGTCACAAAGTACGAGGGACAGGTCTATGCAATCAGAACACAACTGAAAGCAACGCACACCCAATACTTTGTTGAATCTTTTGCACAACTTAGCGGATCGCAGAGCCAGACCGAACATCTTAAACGCACTCTCGGTGTAGCTTAGGGCGCGTGGTCGAGGCCGGAAACATATTAAGGTACCATGGGGCAAGCTTTATTGCAGGATCTAAGAAATGACGCACACTTCATGACTGCTTTGTGTCTCATCGGGAGTTAATAACGCTGGAGCGATACGTAGACGGATGATAGCGATTGTCATGATGTAATTCTGGGTAGTTTGAGCCTGAGTTTTACTGTTAATCGAGAACCATGGCCATTCGTAATTGTCCAGAGGTTAGCCTAACTACGTAGGGCACTGTAGTTGCAACTAGACTGGGAAACCTACTTAGTGTGTCATTCTTCCCTTTAGCAAACGACGACGATGGTATTGCCTCGACTTCTTTTGGACCTCCACTGTTTTCTTAGCGTTGATCCCCTGGCAACCGCATGAAGGTTCCTGGTATCTATGTCATTTCTCCTTAGTCGTGCCCGATGTCGATGCCATTGAGCAACAAACCTTTGCAGAGTACCCGTTCAGGTGTAGAGTTCATATATTTATGTATGCATATCTTTAGCATGAGCCCAAAGAATGGCAATAGTACCATGACGACTATGCCGAGTAGAGCAAAGGTTGCTTCTTTCGACCATCGCGAGTCTGGTGCGTTTAGTATCGCGAAACTCTTGGGGGATGGAATCAGCGGTGCTAAACGATGTTGTTAACATCTTTCATGCACTGAGTCCGCACAGGATGAAGTAAAAGCTGTTGCCTGGGGAGGCATGACTCTTGATGATATTGGCCTGCGGTCAAACTTTCCAGCTTCGAGATATGCTAGAGCCACAACTGGTGATCAAACTGGTGCAGTCGATGAAAGCGAACACGATAAGAGGAAGACGGCGATGCGAAGCGAGCTCAGAAGATCTCCAGTACGGGTGGCAGTGAGTTGGTAGAAAGCCTGAAGTTGCTGGAGGTTTTAGTCTTATATGGGCTATACGGTGCTGCGCGCGAGGCCGCACGATACAATCACTTATACGGCAATCGACTATTCTTGCATCGCCGGATCAGGCGGTGTCGAATACATGAATTCGGATAAATCGGCACTCGGTCGTAGTCGGACACTGATGCAGTGCAACGGGCAGTGCAAGCGACCTGCCCCACCCTCGACCTCTACTCAGCCTTTTGAAGTCTAGATGTTTTATTGTACGTGTTGTAGTGCTTGTAAAGGTCATGTACTTACAGTATCGTTCGAAAGAGCTTCACAGACCTCATTGGCGTCTGAAAACTAAAACCCGCGACCCGGCAGTAGGCGAACCGCTAGTGCTTGAACCCCGGATAGCATTAAGTGATTAGTTCGAATTCAGGCTTGCGGCACCGTAATCGCGCGATGAAGGCTGGAAGAGTATGTTTGTCGGGCCAAAGGGCCGAAGAAGATCAACTCTACAAGATCCATTTCGTATGATCTATCTTACACCACCGCTTGTTGTCCGTCTATTGCCCGACGTTAGTGAAGCGCAGGTACTTCTTGACCTCCCTAACATCGCCAAACTTCTTCCTGGCATCCTCAGTGCTGACGCTGGGTGGCACGATGACGTCTTGGCCCTTTTGCCAGTCAATAGGTGTAGCAATGCCCTTCTTGTCTCCTGTCTGCAGGCTGTCGATAACTCTCAGTACCTCGGCGGTGTTCCTGCCGGTGCTCGCGGGGTATGACATTGTAAGACGGATCTTCTTCGCTGGATCGATGATGAATACCGAGCGGATGGTGAAGGCAATGCCGCCGTTCTTCTGAAGCGCGTCGAGGTCGTCTTGCGAGATCATATCGTAGAGGAAAGCGACGTGGCGATCGGCATCGGCGATGATGGGGAACTGCACGGTGGTGTTGGACGTCTCGTTGATGTCGGCAATCCACTGGTCGTGGGAGCTCAAGTCGTTGGCGCTCTATAGCAAGGTCAGTAGGCTGATCTTGATCCGTCAATGAGCCGATAGAAGCGTACCAAGCCAATCATCTGGACGCCTCGCGCATCGAATTCATCCTTGAGCTTCGCAAAGGCTCCAAGCTCAGTCGTACACACGGGTGTGAAGTCGGCAGGGTGGCTGAAGAGGATAGTCCACTTGTTGTCTAAGAACTTGTGGAAGTCCTACTTGAAGTAAGCATGCGTTGCGCAGCATTCGTCGGAGAAGCTTACCATGTCGCCATGGGTGGTCTTCGCCTGGAAGTTAGGCGCTGCGCGTAGTCAGTACCGTTGATCTGAGATATACTCCAAACGCTACATACCAATGGATCCCAGCCTCAGTCGTGGCTGCTCAGCTGGAAGCGCGATCCCGCGACGGAGTAGCGGGGCAGCAGGACGCTGTACCCGCAGGGCAGGACGCGCCGAAGCGCGCAGAGCTCGAGAAGCTGCACGAGGGAAGAATGAAGCCATTGTGAGGTTTTCAGAATACGATCAGGTATCTGAGATGTGTTCTGGAGCTTTGGAGGGTGGTTCGCGGCGGCAACGTCGATTAGTAAAACGGGGACTTTTCGACATGGCGTCATGTCGAATCAAAAAGCCCCGCCGGTCCGAAATCGGCCGTCTCCACCTCTTCGTGCAGTTCCATCACTACTGGAGTATTCTGTCGCGGGTCTATAGCAAGCATATGGAGTTGTACGAGTTGATGTCGCGCTTGGTCAGTAACGATGCTGCCACGCGTATGCCACGCGACATATCCAGCATGACGTCAGCGTGCGTGCATTAGCACCAGCGAAGCCACCGACCGTATCTCACATCTTTCCATCTACTTTCCCATCCTTGATGGTTATGTCCAACTCATCCTCTGAAGCCAGCATGATTGGAACAGTGAAACCCTTCCACAAACGGGTGGGAACCCTGTCGCCTTCTCCCTCTTCCTTCTCCAGCTCACCACACCACCATGTGCAACCCTTTGGACGCATCCGAACTATATATCGGCCATCCTCAAGGCTTCGGAGCGTGCGTCCGATATCGAATGAACTGACTAATGGGATTCCAGGTTTCAAAATGACCAACTCATCCATCTTGGCTCTCAGGTCGGTTTTCGCATGCCGCAATTGGCAGATGCTAGTCTGTTGCCTGTGCATCATTTTACCAGTCGCGGCATTGACGATGAGAAAACTTGATGTGGGCAGACGATTCAGCTCTGACTGATCAATGACCCTGCGGCGACCGTCGAGGGTATTCGTTTCGGTAGCCGAAGGACCCCATGGGACAAGGAACTTCTGCTGGCCCCGTGACTGTACGGTCACAGTTTCAGAGCCACTATTGACGACGGTAATTTCCAATGATGTATCATTGACGAGACGCATTCTCGTCTCTAGTCGCGGTGGAAACTTCAGGTCATCGACGACTTTGAAAGCTGCACTGCCGTGACGCCAGCTGTTGACCAGTCTCGCTTCCTCGCCATCTCCGTCGCTGTCGGCAAAATCCTCATGGTCGTTGTATATCTATTTCTTGACGCCAAGGTCGCGACTTGCAATCCTGATTCTGTATCTCCTTCCCGGCTTCAGTACTAATGCTAACACGCCCTGGAGATCAAGCGCACAGAGGTAGACCGTGATATCATGTCTCCAGCTCTTGGTCCGATGAACCCGGGACGGAACTGAAATGCAACCTCGATTGCTCGCATCAACCTCTCCAAGCGAGCTTACGTCCACTTCAACCCATTGCGTAGCTTCCCGGGGGCGTTCTTCATACAGGGTTAGCAGGCCATGCGCCAGTGCGTAAGGCACATCGAAGACTGAACCGACCGTGTCAATAAGTATTGATCGAGGGTCTGTATCAGACTTTTGTATCCGACAAAGACCAAACACTACACTGAATGGTAGCTTCCCTGATGCGTCGAAGACGTTGTAGCGGCTATGGAGCTGAACGTGAATTGGAAATCTGGTCATTGCGGTTCGTACGTGAGAAGAACACAAGAACCTGTGGATACACCGGGAAGTAAGAGTGAAGGGCGTTCTTGAAGATGAGTCATCTTGCAGGTCTCATTGGCGTTTCTAAAGGCCTTGAGCATAAGCACGATACCAACACTCGTTGTTGCCTGCCGTCGCGGACATGCCACGCGAGTGCCCCACTCCGGATCTCGAACATGACGTCATCCCGCGTTGTCAAAGCCCGAGCTCCTCATGAAACTTGGTCGCATGTGGCTGGGGATCAGGGCCACGCGCATCGGGAGAAACAAGAAACGAAAAGCCGTTGAAGACCCGTCCCGCATGTTGAAGACCGTTTTGTTCGCCCTCAATCCGTCTTCGGCAGCGCCTGCCTAGCTACACTCGCTTCCCCATCGCCCAGTATGTCCATAACGTCCTTCGACAACAAGCCCGGAACAGGCGGCTTCTTGAAATTCAACTCCGGCCCGCCGCGCATTTATCTCACCTGCGCTCTACCAGCCCCAGAGAAGGCGCTGCTATCCTGGCGCGAAGAAGGCTACGATGCGCAATACCTGCCTTACGATACCAACACGCAAAACCAAGCAGCCTACATCCGGTCCCTGAAAGAACTATCCATAAACTTGAACCTGGGCGAGAACTACGCGATAATAGCTTATGGCGACGCAGCGAGCGTCGTCTTGAAAACAGCACAGAAGCCCTTGGCGAAATGCTGCGCTATCATAGCGTTTTACCCAAGCGTGCTACCAAGCCCTAAGACCATGTATCCGAATTCGCATCAGCTGCAAGTCCACATAGCGGGACTCAGCCAGTCTAGCCCAAGACCAGATATGTGCGAATGGAAGCTGTATCGGTACGAGAAGTGTGCCACAGGGTTTGCGGACCCATCGTCGCGAGCGTACTCGGAGGTGGAGGCAAACCTGGCATGGACAAGAGCGCTAGCATGTATACGGAAAGGATTTGGGAAGAATGTGGACCTTGAACCGATTGCGCTGAGCCACTGGAACGCGAGGTTTGAGGACGACGACCCTGATCGCGCGAGTATGAGTGTGGTGAAGAATATGACGCAGGATAGCCCGCATGTCACGATCTTGCCGACTATGCAGGGAGGCGTGGGGAGGAAGAAGCTCGCGGAGTTTTACGGAGAGTTCTTCGTACCTAGTTTGGTGGAGGACTTTTCCATACGGTTGGTCTCGAGGACTATGGGTGTCAATCGTATAGTGGACGAGATGATCGTGTCTTTTACACATTCTGACGAGGTTGACTGGGTGCTGCCAGGCGTGCCGCCAACGAACAAGCGAGTGGAGATACCCATGGTCAGCATTGTGGCGGTAAGAGGAGACAAGCTGGTTTCAGAGCATATGTATTGGGATCAAGCATCTGTTCTTGTGCAGGTCGGCTTGCTGGATCCTAGGATGGTTCCGAAGAAGTTGAAGAATGATGGACTGAAGGCGATGCCTGTCGTAGGGGCGGAGGCAGCAAAGCAGTTGGTTGAACCGCAACAGAACCGATATAACAAGCTGCTACAGATGCACGGTTTTATGGACGGTTTGAATGGCAACTAGAGATCATCGCATCTTATTTTCAGCGCGGTGTTCCGGAGTAAGGCTTGGAAGAATCGCTTCATCGAGCCTGGAAAGTCTCCGTAATCGCTTGATAGATTCTCCAATACTGTTCATCATCAAATCCATCTCCAGATCAATTCTTGGAATTATCTATTCTCAACCGATGAAACTGCATGTCGGCAGCTTGTACTCATTGAGTACCCAGTACTTCCGCCTCACACCCTCCCATTCGCCCTTATCATCCAGATTTGGCACCGGAACCGTTTCCCATTCTGTGTCGAAACCAGCCTCGAAGAGATCGAATTCTACAATCTTATTGTAAACGTCGTAGACAATTTGGCGATCTGCTCCCATGCCGTTGAAGAAGCCAAATCTGCCTCCCTCGCCATCGGAACCACCAGCGGGATCGAGGAGCCCGATGACATGTTCGGTGAAGAATTCGCGCAGTGCTTTGTACTCTTCGGCGAAGGTGTCAAAGTAGATCGCGTCAAACAGCTCGCCCTTTTCGACAAGACCTGGTACAATGTCTTGCCAGCGGCCTTCGTGGATGACAACGCCTGGCTTCTCGTGCCATCCTTGCTCTTTCATGCGCTTGATGACATCTGGATGCGCCTCAATGATGTGGTGAGCTTTTGGCTTTTTCTCCTGCAAGATACCATCGATGATGCCCATGCCATGACCAACGTTCAGAACGCGAAGCCCTTCTGTCGGCACCAATAATTCGGCCGATCTGCGCATGAGTGTTGTCTCCCACTCCATCATGACTCCGTTTGAGGAATCGTCCAGTAATCGGTCGCGGTCGAATGTGAGCTTGGAAGAGAGATAATTTGGGTTCTCGGTTGATTCATCGCCTTGCGCTTCTTCCTGACTGATGTCCACTACCTCGACGCCTTCAGCCACCTCTTCAACCTCATCTTCCTCCTCGTCTTCTTCGTCCGAATCATCGTCTCCCAGAAGTTGGTATTGCTCCATGCGACTCAGCAGCATTTCCGCGCGCACGCCTGCGTCGACACAAAGCTCGTATAGCTCCTTCAGGCCCAATCGATGTGCGATGCATCCCGGTGTTTCGCCATTTGAATCCAAGTCGTTCCATATCGCACCGTTCTCGAACAGGAACTTGATGGTCTTTACAGCGCTGTCCATTTCGTTCTTCGTATCCTCCGCCCCACCCGCTGCTTCTCCGTTTGTGTCTCCGTTGACTTGCTTTGCGTCATCTTCGTCGGGCTCACAGGCAGCGATTGCGGCGTGCAGAGGCGTAAAACCAGTCTCGGAATCTTGGACGTTCGCGGAAGAGTTGCGCAGAAGGTTGCGGAGGGAGGCGGTGTCGTGGTTCGCGGCGGCGAGCAAGATGCTGTGCGTCTGCAGATCAGTCTGCGTATCGAATTCCGGGTCGTCCATGATTAGTCCAGTAGTGTTGGTGTCGCGTTCGCAAAGTATTTAGAGGGGCAGTTGAGGGGCCTGGAAATTTACTGAGACGCGAGTCATGCAGGGTCCAGCTGGTGGATGTCGCAGTGTCAGTGATCCTCACCTCAAGGCCAAAGCGACACAGAATTGCATGAATGTGATTACACTAAAATAATATTGCAACATACATTCAAGCTCGGATACCCCATTACCAAGTAGTGCGCTATGCATTCCCAACAACTGGCACTAATTCCTCCTCTACAACTCATCGATAACACTTGAGTCCAACATCTTCTCCAGCTCATCCCTCGGAGTGATCGTCCTGTTATCCTGCTTCGCTAGATACCCATCCTCCTCGACCAAAAAGTCAATCATCCCATCATCCCACCGTCCACTACAGTTATGGTGTTTCCAAACAGCCCCCACAACCCCCACATCTGCATCAACAGTCTTAGCCACATATTCAAAAACATTCTTCTCCTTCGGCGAATTCGTGAATACGTCCCGTGTCTTGTCAAGCGCCCTCACAAACTCTACAATATCCTTGCGCCTCGAGGGATTGTCGAGAGCTTCTGTAGTAGAGAAAAGCGCGTAGACTTCTCTGTAGATTGATGCGTTTTGGAAGATGATCGCGTCGTCTCCCAAAGCCCTAGCGCCGAGCTCGACAGAAGTTTCCCAAATACCGAACGCATCCAGGCTTCCGTTGTTGAGAAGATACGGGAGAGTATCGTTTGCACACGGCGTCTTCATGCACCACCACGCATTAACCCCTTCGTACTCATGATCCTGCACACCAACACTACTCATCATATTGTGTACGAACACTTCCGCACTCGAACCCAGAAAACTGCCAATCTTCTTGCCCTTCAGATCTTCAAGTTTGTTGATACCCTTCCTTCTATCGGCGACAAGGCGGTACGACACCTCGCAAATGACGTAGATAAGGCGGATGTTACGGTGATCGACATATTGTCTGATACTTGGTGTTTCGGCGTTGGCGCTGAGGTCGACACTTTGGTTGGAAAGGATGTCGGGGACACCACCTGATATGAGAATTGCAGGCGTACTGCCGTTGTAGAAGTTCTCGATGGCGTAGGGCTGAGGCGTCCGCTCTATCCAAAGGGGGTAGGATGCGATTGTAAGTCCGACAACCTGGTGAAGCTGGATGATAACAACGGCGAGCAGAAGGAACGACAACATCATGCTTCGTGTGAGCGATGAGCTATCTGATTGTGACAATGAAAGGTAATCTTCGAAACTCGAGCTTAAATGTGTCTACTTGCGTCCCGGTTGCTGCAAGAACTCTGTTACGCCGGGTCAATACGAAGTCTTGGAATTCTGCGTGCAATTACAGCATTCCGATCGATGACGTCGAAGCAGGGATCAGTGCATTGAAGTGGTTACCCATATAGGATTATTGCAGGGTACATCGCCCCATCTTGGCATTCTACACATAGGCTGTCAAATTGGGGCGTAAAAGAGATGCACGATACTCAAAGCGACGCGGAACAGTTTTGAAGATCTGCTGTATACCAAGGTTAGACTGTCGGACATGAGCTTGTCATTAGAATGCAGCAAGAATGTACAATGAGACAGAAAACACGTCAGAGGAAAGAGCGTCCCATGTCTAATTGGGTCGCTAATGAGATGGAATTCAGATTTGGCTTTCGCCATGCCTACCTATCGTAACGCCGTAGTACCAACATTGTCGGATCGGGTGCGCATTGTACGCATCTGTAGAAGAATGCCAAGGTACGTATACTCGTTGTACAGTAGTCTTAGTGAGACTGTATCCAGCCCAACATTTGACCGAAAGCTTGGGCTTGTGACTGCTTGATCTTGGCATCCTCATAGTCTCCGTATACAGCAAAACCATGAGGTACGCCCTCGAATACCTGGATCTCATGCTCGACTTTGTTCGTCTCCATGGCTCTGCGACCAGGTGTCAATGCGTCTTCTTCGGAGAACATGGGGTCATCTTTGACAGCGGCAATGTAGACGGGCGATTTGACAGCCTCGAGATCCTCCTTGTATGTCATGGTTGGGTGCGCAACAGCGCCGGCCCTGAGAACGGGCTCTTTCTTGACCGTGCCTTGCTCTACATCTTTCTGGGTTTCTTGGCCCCAGGCAACAGTGTCAGGCAGCTCGGATGCCAACATCAGGATGTACTTGGCGCCGAAACAGTAGCCGATGCCATAGATTCCTCCACCGTTGGCAACAGCATCGGCGTACTCTTCCTTTGCACTCTCAACAACCTTGTGAAGCAGCGGAAGGACCTTTTCGGGAGTATGTCGAGCGAGCCACATGTCAATCATGAATGACTTGATGCCCTCTGCGGTCCTCAGCTTGACCGATTCTAGCCATGATGCTTCCTTGGGTATCTCTGTCATATCAACAGTATTCGGCGCTGGGTCGTTGTCGAACTGATCGGGCATAACGACGAGGTAGCCTTCCGAAGCGTACTTGTCAGCCTGCAGCTGGTTGTTTGTAGACTTGACGCCAGTGCCGCCTGTCAGCATAAGCAGGAGCTTTGAGGGCGAGTGTGGGTAGTCGGCCGGTTTTGCGATGTAGCATTCGACGCCGCCTAGCTTTGTGAGGTCGCCGGTGGGTTTCTCGCCGGAAGGTGTTGGACGATCTGTGGTGCAGTGTTCCTGGATGATCAGTATATGGTAGTAAGAACTGGGGGTACTAGATGCAGGTATGCACAACACGTTCAAAGTGTTTTGAGGAACAGAACTTTGGGCATGCATATGCAGCTTCCCGTGACAATGACTTGACTTACACCCATGCTTGGCCCTTCTTGCGCTCTGGTGTCTCCGGGGAAGACGCTCTCCGCTGCTGCCTCTTGGGGTTGCTCTTGGGGCTTCTCCTGCGCATCACTCTCGGGCGCGCGCGTAGCGATGTCGTTGTCCGCCATGATGTTTGTAAATTGTGTAGTGTTGAGTCGATATACGCGAAAGCTGGTATGAGTGAGCTGCAGCTGGCTGTGAAGGGTCCAAGCCAATTACGTAGCCCCGCACAGCCCCAGAGCCACTTGGACGCGTGGATGCGGTTAGAGCGGGGCCACTGAGTCACGTGTCGAGACGCGTCGACGCGCTTTCTGATCTTTGACGTGTGCCCGCCACCGACACACGCCATCTCAACACCACGCAAACACACATACACAGTCACCATGGCAGAGGGAGCAATCACGCAAGGCGCTATCCAGTAAGTAATCGCAGGATGTATTTAATGGCGCATTCTGACACCACCTAGGAGCATCTTCCAGCCCAGCGGCTGCTTCGTAGAAAATCCGGTCCTGCAATGCGTGCAGATCAAGACGATGGAGCCCAAGGCGGGCGAGGCGAACCCAGTGCAGCGCTTCCGCGTTGTCTTGAGCGACATTCGCAACTTCATACAGACTATGATCGCGACCAGTAAGTCAAGCGCAGGCACTATACGGACGTAGCTAATCCCGTGCAGCCGCCAACGACATTGTCACTTCTGGTCAGCTTAAGAAGGGCTCGATAGTTCGCCTCCTCAAGTACAACCCTCAACGCGTCAAGGACAAGAAGTACGTATTTCTACACCTTAGAAGAGTTCTGCGCTGACAGCTACTAGCATCCTGATCATCATGGAACTGGAGGTCCTGTCGCAATACGGCGAACTCGACAAGATCGGACAGCCCGAAGCTCTCGACACCAAGGCCGCTGAGGCACAACCCGCAGCCATCTCTGGCAACAACTTCTACGGATCGAAGCCCGCGCCTGCCCCTGCCCCTCAGCAACAACAGCGATCCCTCCCTACTCACCAGAGCAATCCCGGTACTTCCTCGCATCCCAACCTCTACCCTATCGAGTCTCTTTCGCCATATGCACACAAGTGGACTATCCGCGCACGATGCACAGCCAAGAGCGATATGAAAGAATGGCACAACCAGAAGGGAACGGGCAAGCTGTTCAGCGTAAATCTGCTCGATGACACTGGCGAGATCCGAGCCACGGCTTTTACCGAAATCGCTGATAAGCTTTACCCCGTCTTTGAGGTGGGCACTGTATACTACATTTCAGCACCCTGCCGAGTCACGCTTGCTAAGAAGCAATTCTCCAACCTGCCCAACGACTACGAACTGCAATTCGAACGCGATACCGAAGTTGAGAAGGCGGAGGACCAGGAGAACAAACCACAGATACGATTCAATTTCACCAAGATTGGTGACTTGAATACCATCGAGAAGGACGCAACGGTCGATACTATCGGTGTTTTGAAGGAGGTCGCAGAGGTTACTACGATAACATCGAAGAACACCAACAAGGACTACAGCAAGCGAGAGTTGACACTAGCCGATGACAGCCAGACGTCTGTCAGACTTACCATCTGGGGCAAAGCTGCCGAGAGCTTCGAAGCGCCGCTGGAATCAATCATTGCATTCAAGGGAGCCAAGGTCTCCGACTTTGGCGGACGAAGCCTGAGTTTGCTGAGCTCTGGAACTATGATGGTAGATCCAGACATTGATGAGGCTCACAAGCTGCAAGGATGGTTCAACGCTGCTGGACAGACTGCGACATTTTCTACACACCAGAACTTGACCTCGGCTTCAGGCGGTTCCAAGAACGAAGTCAAGCCCATCTCGGCAGTCATCGAGGAGGAAGCATACCTCCAAGACACGCCCACATGGCTAAGCCTCCGAGCATCTGTCTTGTATGTCAAGAATACTACCATTGCATACCCCGCGTGCTCGACGCAAGGTTGCAACAAGAAGGTCATTGAGGAGAACCCCGGTGCCTGGTGGTGCGAGAAGTGCCAGGCTACCTTCCCTGAACCTCAATACCGCTATGTGCTTAGCGTCAACGTTGGCGACCACACCGGCACGCTGTGGCTCAGCTGTTTCGACGAAGCTGGACAGGACATTGTCGGCATGTCGGCAAACGATGCCATGAAGATCAAGATGGATGATGATGAGAACAACACACAAAACTTCATGAATGTCATGCAAGAGGCTACATGCAAGACGTTCAACTTCAGGGTGCGGGCGAAGATGGAGACATATCAGGACCAGCCAAAGTAAGTATACTGCATGTCGTGTTTTGATATCTGCTAACATCTTCCAGGCCGCGATACCAGGTTCAGAACTTGAACAAGCTCAACTACGCCGCGGAGGCCAACAAGCTGGCTCAGCTCATCAAGCAGTACAACATCGACGACGACACCTTGTTCGTAAACTGAAGTAGACCATGTCTCTTCCCAGCAACTGCATCGCGTGCGGTAGTATTTAGCAATGTATATGAGAGCTTCAAATGATGGATGTTAGATAGATGCACACGACGGTACGCGCGGACAAGCGCACAAACGAAGCAAGTTGTACCATACCATTATGAGTTTATTGCCGCGGCCTATGTTGTCCGACCCCACCATAGCTCAAGCTCAATGACTAGCTGCCCCTCAAACGTCATTACCAATCATTTCCGTAGCTACCGGAATGGCCTCGGAACAGACTACCACTTTCCTTAAGAATTTCTGACACTCTGACATTCTGACATTCTGACATTCTGACATCGTCTCTGACAATCCTTTGCTAATTGTAAAGCGCCACCTTTCCACCTTTCAACTTACTGGTATTCATTTTCAGCGGCCAACAAACCCCATCGACTATTACAATGAGCGACACGATGCGCGCAGTAGGTGTGTACCGACATTTTTGTACTTTGAAACGCCGAATTTGCTAACTCTGCGAAGATATCAAAGATGGCAAAGGCCCAGTCGAGAACCTCCACATCACCGACATCCCCAAGCCGAAGCTTGGAAAGTCGCAAGCGCTCGTCAAAATCAAGGCTTTTGGTCTGAATCGCATGGACCTATTGCAACGCGAAGGAATGTATCCAGTACCACCTGGTGCTTCAAAGATTCTTGGTGTAGAGTTCTCGGGTACAGTCGCAGAGTTGAGCGCAGAGGGTGGAGGCAAGGAAGGCTTCAAGGTGGGCGACGAAGTCTTCGGCCTAGCATATGGAGGAGCGTATGCCGAGTACATTGCTGTGTCAACACACATGCTGGTGCGGAAACCAAAGGAATTGACTTGGGAGCAATGCGCTGGTATCCCTGAGGTAAGTTTGACGCCTTCTCGTAGCGTGCAGTGCGTCTTGTAAGGCTGTCTTGCTAACAAAGTCTTTATAGACTTGGATCACAGCAACCCAAGCCATGTACCTCGTCGGCCAATTCGCTGCTGGCAAAACCATCCTCTGGCACGCCGCCGCCTCATCAGTCTCGATCGCCGGTATCCAACTGTCCCTCGCCGACAACGCCTCCGCCGTCTACGCAACCGCACGTCAAGACGCCAAATGCGACTTCGCCGTCAAAGAACTCGGTGCAACTGCTGCATTCAACACAACATCACAAAACTGGGCTGAAGAAGTTATGAAGGCTACAGATGGCAAGGGCGTAGACATCATCGTGGATTTCATCGGTGCATCGTACTTCCAAGCGAACCTTGATGCTATCGCCAAAGATGGTATTATCGTCAATCTGGGCTTCATGGGTGGAACCAAGGTGCCAGAGGGTACGGATATTAGTGCATTCATCAGGAAGAGGTGTACCTTTGTTGGAAGCAGTCTGCGATCAAGGGATGAGGAGTACCAGGGCAAGCTCAGGGATCAGCTTGTCGAGCATGCGTTGCCTAAGATGAAGGATGGAAGTTTCAAGCTGTTTGTGGAGAAGGTGCTGCCGTGGGAGAAGGTGCAGGACGCGCACAGGCTGTTGGAGGAGAACAAGACTAAGGGCAAGGTCATCTGTACTATCGATTAGGAGGTAGTCTAATGTAGAAGGGTATCGTAGGGAAGGAGGTCACGAGAGATCAGCCAATAACCTCAAGTCTAATCACAACATTCGACAAGATATAGGACAACTTGCACTATGTTCCCAGTACACGTTGACTCTTGCTCCACATGCCACAACACACTCGCATTTGTTTGATGTTCCTCAAAAGACAAGATTACTGCAGGCTTCGTATTGATGTTCTAACGTTCAAGCCCAACTCCCCCACCCCCCAAAAAAAGGAACTCTCACAACACCTCGCCGTCAACACCACCACCACAAGCCCGCCGCTGGGGCAAAAAGACGACGTTGGCCAGATTCGAACTGACGCTCCCGAAGGAACAAGATTTCTAGTCTTGCGCGATAACCACTCCGCCACAACGCCCCCGGATGCGACACCTGTGTGATTCGAACACACGCTCCCGAAGGAACTGGCTAACTTCCCTCATCACTGAGGACTAGCAGGCCAGCGCGTTAACCACTCCCTAGAATTTGGATTAGCAAGCGTTGGGTAGATAGACTGGATCAAACGTACGCCAAAGTGCCAAACAATTGGTTGCTAATTGATGAAGAAATCTGAATTTGGTATGTTCATAGCTTCAAGAGCCAAATGCCAACGTTAGGGGTCGAAAACTGGAATTCTGGGCGGATCTGGTGGAGAAGAGCTAAAGATGTTGAGTTGGGGCGACAGGAAGGTGGGACGTGTTCGTGGGGCTGGAAGTTTGACGGGTAATCGGGCGGTAAGTGCGGGGACGTTGAGCTGAATTTGGACTTAGCAACTTCCAACATCTCTTGCCATCACCCCATCATTATTCGACAATAGACTTTCGAGGAATGCACAGCTCCGATGATTCCTGAAACACGAATGCTGGTTCATTGAGTATGTTGCTTTCCATACCTAGGTACGTATTCTAAGGTGATGGTTGTTAGCCTAAGCTGTCGGCAAGCAGCAGACCAAAAGAGGGAAGATCGTGTATAAAGTGGATGGACGACCTTGGGAGTATAGCCACGTACCTATATACTTGAGCCTTGCGGAACAGCTCACTGCTGACCAGTCAAACTAGTGACCCCTCAACCTCGCACTAACTGACTGACGACCTTGGAGAACCGGCGTCAACAATGCTGTCCACGGACGAATTCGCTACGTCTCTTGCCATCCGACCTCATGCCTTCGCTTCCGCTTCGAAAGCCCCCACTCGCTCGACGAAATCGACCCTTCTCTTGTCGAGCTGACGAGTTGCCTGATCGATAGTTCGCAAGACAGACTCAACGCAAGTACCACCTGACTTCTGGACCTTGTCGTACCTGGTTTCCATCTCTTTCACTTCTTCCACCAACGTGGCTATGTGTCTGCCCAAAATCTTCAACGCTATCTCGAAGCCAAGCTCCCGAGTATCTGGACCTCTCAAACAGCCGATCGCTGATAGCATTCGTTTGGCATCTGCTGGCGCATAACCCACGATTTGGCTTCTTACCCATTTCAAGAACTCGAATATGTCCACAGGAGGAACCTCTGGCTGTGTGGGCATCGGTTCACCTCTCAGATCTGCAAGTCTTCCCCTACGAAACGTTGGTGATGGGGCCCTTTTCGATGCTGGCTGTATGGCCATTGGTGGACCTCTTAGATCTGCAATTCTTCCCCCACAAAACGTTGGTGATGGGGCCCTTTTCGATACTCGAGCTGCATCATCACCAGTGCGTTTACGCTTCAAATTCCTCGCATCTGTAGACGCCGAAGGATGCAGACGTTTCGAGTTGGTGTTTTCGCAGTGGGAAGAGCTGGGGTGGATGCTGTCCGTGGACGGGGGCTTTGGAATCGCGATTTGAATATGTCCTGGGAAGTTGCCGTCGGTGAGCTCCAGCTCGTACAGTGTGAAGTTGGCATCCGGCTGTACAGTTCCGGGACTCTCTCGCCACGCCATCGCTTTGCCAGCACCAGGATCAGCGCTGTTCTGATCGGTATTCATCTCTTTCCGAAGTGCAAGTCGCAGAGGATGTGGCGAGGTGGTTTAAAGACAGGCAGTAAGAAAAGGGTGGAAAGAGCTTAAATGGTCCTGGTAGCGTTGACTCTGCCTTCACCTTTTCTCTTCTCTCACCTTCACCTACGAAACAGGCAGTCGCATCGGCCTTGGCGCTTCCAACAGGGTCCAGAGGAACCCTTGACTGACCTAATGCTCATTTCAACAAAACTTAACATACGCACAGTGTGCGTGTCTCCCTGGAGCTAGCAATACTATGGAAGTTCACCCTACCAGCACTGAGATAGTGTGTTCGCGCAGTTCAATTTGTTTCTACGCGGTCGGTGGAGCGCAGTTCGCGTGCGTGACGCGCCGTCTCGCCAAGATCACAACGCGTCGCGAAACAAGTTTCTTCATCCCACCACCCTTCACTCGCACTACGATGCCTAGACAGTATAAGATGGCGCGTAAGAAGCCAACCCAAGTCGCCCTGGCCCGCAAGACGCAGGACATTCGGTCTTTCTTTCCGCGATCACAGGCTTTGCCGCCCTCAACCAACCCCATCTAGGTGCTCTGACTGACCTGGTAACTCACTCAACCGAAGCAACGCCTACCCCAATCACTGGAGGAGCGCCCACCTCACCGGGTCCGTTTCTGTTTCAAAAGCTAGCTACTCCGACTGGTCTAGCGCCTCACTCAATTACCTCGCCTGTATCACATGCCATGGTGAACGATAGGACGCCAGTCGCCACTAATGTTCTCGTGGCAGGCGGCTCTACGCGATGCTCGCGCTAGTCTGACCGAGCGGGACGTCATCACTATCTATGGCAACTCCGAGTCGATGCCCGGCGCGCGGAGGACTGATGAACCAGGACCACTTCAGAGACTTATACTACCACGGTCACAAGATCGACCGAATGAGACGTCTACAATACAGTCAACCACCCAGAGCTCGGAGGGAGCGCCTCTTGTTTTACCCCAAGCACGCAGCTTATGCGTCAATCCGAGCAGGTCCAACCGTTGCGGCGGCTACATACAATCAGCTCCAAGTCTTCAAAGATGGCAAGAGGAAGCGAGGAGAAAGCGATTGACTCTTGAGGATCATATAGGACGTAAGACAATGCATCCGCAAGTGCGACAAGACGAGGCAAGCTGCGATATCAATCAACTGAAAATCGACGGTGACGTCTACAACCACGGCGAGGAAGCTGGTACTCGCAAGGAGCGACTCCTTTTAGACAGGAGGCATAGCGTGTACACGTCAGCTCGTGCGGGACACACAGTTGTGGTGGCAAGCTACAGCCAGCTACAACACCTGAAAGATACCGAGAGTGCGCGCGGGCAACGGCACAAGCTCTTTCTCCGCATCATTCTTGATGAGGCTCAATGCATCCGTGGATGTGATCGGACTCGCCAAGGAAAAATCCTGATGTCGTTTGACGCCTACTTCAAGGCTGTCTTCACAGGTTCGTCTGTTGTTGACACTATCCTGGACTTTGATGGGTACTTGGCTTTCCTGGAGTTCGTCGGATGGGGATGGGTCGCCGACCTAAACTCAACCCACAGCACTGACAAGGTTCGAGAGTCGCGGTATGACCAGTTCAATGAGAGCTTGGCGACTGGCGTCAACAACCGCTCTGAGCCCCTCGAGGATTGGCACAGCGACTGCAGCTCGGTGGACGAGCTAGATGCTCAACAAATTAAGGAGTCCATCGAAGACGGGTGGCAGTGCTCGCACTGGCCTGCGCTCATAAGATACAACGGTGATCGTCCACAAAGCCTGGATCGCAATGACAGGAAGAAGATCGACGGCAAGACTATCGTGAAGGATGTTTCACCTCCGGTTCAGGAGAGCCCCAACGATAGGTACTATTCCAGGGTCTCGAATAGTAACAAGTACTACTCGATCGCTTCTTCCAGGCACTACATCACACTGTCGTTAAGGACCGCTCTGAGTCGATCGGGGGTTGGAAGAGCGACTACAACTCGATGGATGGTCTTGGCGACATGGAGATCAGGACAGAGATATCGTACGGCCGGTAGTGCGCGTACTAGACCGCGCTGCTGAAGGACCACCGCGACCAACCTTCAAGCCTCGACCGAAAATCCCACCAGAAAGTGGATGGCCAATTGATACTGGTAGACATACCAGCACCGTTCCCAGAAAACCCATACGACAACTACCATCCGGCCAACCTTGACAGCTTGAAGTGCTGTTCAACAGCAGCCTTCTGTTACTACATTGGAAGGCATATCAAGAAGGCCGTCATGGATGAAGTGGATGTAAAGATCGTCGCCACACGCGTCCAGAAGATCCTTGCGATGATGGTCCTGTCAAGAAATCTTTTCAGTAATAATGTTGCAGAGACCAGTGAGAACATGAATCTTGTTTTTGGTTCATGCTTTCGTGATATAGGTATCGAGGAGCCTACAATCCCTCAATTCATTTGTCCAGCAAAGTTATCAAGCAGCTGCGAGAAGACACTAGCTTTACTAATGGTTTGATCACTGTGATTGTACATACCTGGAAGCCTACAATTTACCAAGAAGATACCGGGTGTCAATGTATAAACAATGCGGTGGAATACACACCATCTACAGTTGTCTGACAATTTGATGGCGACATCTTGGGTAGCTACATGGAAGCGTACGGCCGCCCCAAAAAAGCCCAGAAAAGCAGTGCACATAAGCCCCAGCTCCAATTTCTCCAAACTATCGGTGCTCTGCACCCACATTGGGTTCTCATGGATCGAATGTCAGCATGGACAATTCGCGCGATGCGAAAGGAGGGTCTCCGTCTTCTCACCGCCAGAATGAAGAAAGCTGGAGCCTCGAACCCGGAAGATAAGAACCGCCCACTGGAAAGGGATGAAACGATCCCGTGTCAGTTCTTGTGGGGAAGCCCTGACTATCGCTGACGATTTGGCGGCCTACAACGAGCGAGAAGACAGATACCAGCGTGAGTTTGCCGAGCACTTCGAAGCGGTCTCGTTGGCAAAGAGCGCGAAGGTGAAGGACTCCAAGACGGACTTAGCAAAGATCGGATCCAAGTTCGCAAAGCTGTCGGTGCTGTGCACGCACATCGGTTTCTCCGGGCTCGACAAGATGTCGACGGCGGCCATTCGTGCGCAGCGGCACGAGATTCTCCCTCTTCTCACCGCGAGGATGAAGACAGCTGGAGCCTTGAACCCAGAGGATATAGATCGCCCGCTGGATAGCGACGAAGAGGTTCTACGGCAATTCTTGTGGGGCTCGCCCAGGATGAAGTACTTGCTTTGGGAAATCCAGCGGGTGATCTTTGGTAACACCAAAGTCGCCAGCCACCGAAAGATCTTCGCAACCTTCCAATTCCCCAGATCCGCTGAGATGTTCCTGAAGCTTGTGGAGTTCCTTGGAATTTGTGCGGTCCTCCTGGACACCAACATGCCTCCGGAGGAGCGTCACAAGAATATCCGGGCCTTCGACGAAGAGGACATGCCGCAAATCCTCATAACAACGTATGCTCTCAACATCGCTGGCCATGACGCTCAACATCGTTGTGCTACCGTCGTGCATGTTGAGCCGGCGTTCAACTGGGCTACAGAGCATCAGGCGGCCTCATGAGTCTATCGCCTTGGACAAGAAGAAGAGGTCGAAATTGTGCGCTTGTTCACCGAAGGAACTTACCAGGAGCTGCATGAGGCGGGCATGATCAAGAAAGCCAACTCCATGTTTGCCGCTTTTGGTGAGCTGCAATCTGCAAGTGAGGGCCTCGAGGACCGGGAGAAGATGACGACAGAGGAGATCGCGAAAGGTGCATTCGGCATAGTCCGGGATCGTGTGCGAGGCCGCGACGCCAAAGACGTGGAATCAGCCAAGGAGGACGCTATCACAAAGGCGAAAGTCAAGGCGAGAGTACCGTAAGATTAGATTAGCTCCGAGCGTGCGACTGTTAATCAGGGGTATCTACCAGAAGCTCCACGAAGCCGGTGTGGTCAGGAAGGCGAATTCTGTATTTGCGAATTTTGGTCAGCTCCAATCCACCAGCGACAGACATGCCTTTGGAGAGGAGATAGCCTTCGGAGAACTTACAAGTGACACGCATGAGCCAGCTGAAAGGCTACGTTGCAGCATAAATAGCGATGATTTAGGCTAATACGTGCATTAGAAAGCTACAACTAGAGTTGCCAGGTTGTTAGCTGTATATAAGAGAATAGCCAGGAAGCTACTATGCAGTGCACATCGGCGTAACTAATTGTCAAAGTTAACCGAGAATATTAAGAGAGCTATCGTTAAGATGAATCCTATAACTAAACAACGGCTAGGAGATAACATATCGCGTTGGCAGCGATAGAGCGTGCCCACGTTGTGCGACTATTGAACACGTAAAGCCATCATTAAAAGGGCAATAGGGCAACAAATAGCCTGCAGAGCCCATTAGATTCGTGCGTCTTCCCGGTGCCACAGCCGTCACAACAAGGTAGGGCTTGGTAAAGGTACTCTATGAGAGTCGGCCAGTGGAGGCCGAAGATCTAGTAGCCTTTGTAGACGTCTCCTGACTGCTGCTCACCTGATCGTAATGGATCCTCGCTCCTCCTGGCGGAAGACACTCAATGGTCTCGGCGTCGTCACCGAGCTGTCCTCTCAGGACCATCTTGGACCTGGCAACGTCTTCGAACAAAGGTTTTGACACAGTCTGCCACGTGCCCGTCTAGAATCCGAAAGATACAGCGTAAATAGGTCTCTTATCCGCTTTTCGTAGACGACCATGTATGCTCAACCCTCTATTGTGTCTATCGAGATGAGTGCGATTAACGCCTATGTCGCCGTCTCGTATACACGAAACCGTAGCACGAGACGTGCTAGTCTTCCACCTCGTTTTCGCCAACTATTCTAGCGAGACCTTCCCAACTAATATCGTCTGAGAGTTCCTCAACATACAACATGGTACGTCCTCTGCCAGCGTAACAATTAAACAGGTAAAAGGTAGGAAGATGAAAGAGTAACGGGACATCGTAGCTTCGTAAGGTCGCAAATATCAGGTACGGTGAAGTCATGATATGTGGCATGATCGACGTTGTGTTGCTCATGCTGGTTCGAAAAAGTTGGTCATTACGCCAGTCGGAACCACGGGCAATTTCTTTGGGCCACGTTTTGCCTTCTTGAGCACGCGTTGCGGGTCGCCGTTGCGCCCAATCAGGCGATCGTTGTGTGCTTGACCGTAGTCTTTCCAGTCCTCGCAAGCCCTCCAGGCCTCCAGTAGGTTCTTGATGGCGTCATCTACCGCCGTGATTGTGGACAGTCGCACAAGAAGGTCGCGAGACTCAAAGAGCCCATAGTAGAAGCCGGAATCATGCTGAGGGAAATATGCGGCGTTCATACCATATAATAACTCAGTCTCCCGGATGATTAGCGTGAATAGCGGCGAGCGTTTGAGCCACGGGAGGATCAGTTCAACCTTGCACGCAAGGCCATCTAGGCCTATGGACAGGACGAAGGGCTTGATCCCGCGAGCGGCGAACTCCTCTAAGCTCTTGTCGATTGTGTTGGTGAACTTGTATGCGCGAGCATATTACGACCTTATGGACGGGCCGATAGTCATGTGCGCTTGGGAGAACTTCCCCGTTGGAGCGCATAACGTGTGGACGTCATACAATGCAATAAGTGTTCCCGGGACATCCAGGTCACTACTGTGGTCGTCAACCAACGTGTCGAAGACTTTTCTGGCGAATATCGGTAGGCCTTTTGCCATGTCTTCTTATCCAGACTTCCATGCTTTCGGTGCGGCACTGGAAGACCTTGCCTCGGCGAGCACGCCTCTCGCTTTGCCAGTTGTTGACTGAGGTATGTATTCAGCCCGATGTACGCCGTCGAACCGCGCGTACTTCGAACTCTCCTCGCCCTTACACCTGGTCTCGTGTGAAGCTAGAAGGTACAGGTCGTACCAAAGCTTTGGGCATTTACTGCATTCATACAGTCCCCTCGTATCGTGGACATGCATGCCAGCATGAGTGTCATACGCTCAGATGTCCTCTCGTTTCCTTCGCTGTATTATCGTTTTCGGTGCCCGGCTAGCAAATAGAGGCCGCACCGGTGAAGCATTCGCCACTTTGTCGTCTTCTGGGGGCCTCATCCGAGAGACTGGGTGACTGCAAACTCCGACGTTGTCGCCAGGGTGGTTGTTGCCAGTTCCTTGAAGAATTGAAAGTGTCATGTATCCTCCTGCCCTGCTCGTACAAAAGCAACCCGTGCCGCCATGTTCAGTCCCAAATGAGAACGTTCTCCAACACAAGTCATCGCTCATGAACTGCATCATTTATTGACGTATAACTGCAGCAGGCTTCTCTTCTTGGCTGAGGCAGCCATTTCGCCATTCAAGGAATAAGGGCAATGATGGCAAAACCGTCTGTGTAACCCAATTCCTGAGGTCAAGCCCTTGGAGTCCAGTTACGGCGCTCCAAGTCTGCAGGTTTAGGTGGTACTCCTTCTGATCAAGCTTGTTGATCTTGTAGATACCGGTGATGAGGTACGCGCGGGTACCTTCAAAGGTTGGGTTTCGTCATGGTGCAAATGGAGATGGGTAGACGGGCAAGGTCGCGAGAATGTCTTAGCTGCAGGGATTGATGGCGGATCGAAAGTGATGGAGGTGGTGGAGGTGATGGGCGTGGTAGGGCTGGTGAGGGTGGTAGAAGTAGTAGAAGCGGTGGAGGTAATGGAAGTGTCAGAGGTGGCACAAGCGCTAGACTGCCCAGGTGAGCACGTGCCCGTCAGTTCGCAGTCGCGGTGCTTGACGGACCGCGCAAAAGCAATGGCGCCGCCAAAGGCCGGCGACAACGCTTTGCCTGGCTTCAACCTTCCGGTGAGGCACTTGTTATAAAAAAAACGTCGGTAAACAAGCGCACTATCTCGACATGTTCTTTTTAGCTGATACAGTACGCGGCCATAGCTCTGTAAGTTCTGTTTAGCACCACCAATCACAAGCAACAAGCGATTGCCCACGATTATTGCACAGTATGCTGCTGCAACAGCTACGATAATATTCGGATTCAGATCCCGAAGATAGGTATCTCTGAAATAGGTTAACAATGCCTGTGCAGCTTCCCAAGCGCGGAGATACGCTCACATGCCGACGATTCCTCTACCCGGCCACACGCGGCGCGAACCCATTCCACTTTCCACTCACCTAGCCAACCCCTTCGGCCCCGCCCACTCGCCCTTGACATGATACTTCCCATAAACCCACGGAAAGAAGTCCTTCTTCAGCCAGTAAAACGCCTTCCGCGGCACCCCTTGGTCAATTCCCAGCAGCCCATTGAACGTCTCCTTCGGCACACCCCCATACATAAACTCCGCAAGCAACACCTCCTTCCTCCCTGTCAGCAACGGACAAGACGTGTACCCGTCGTAACTAGCCGTCAGCTTCTTGCCCTCCATCGCTGAGAGTACGTTAGACACCAACACCGGTGCTTCAGCCGTGATGGCAGCCACGGTTTTAGATGTCGGTAAAGAGGACGCGTCGCCTATGGACCAGATGTTGGGGTAAGAAGTGTGTTGCGTTGTAGAATCCGAGACGGAAACGTAGCCTGCTTCGTTGGCGAGAGCGCTAGATTTGATGAACCCCCAAGGCACGTTCTTGGGCGCGACGTGCAGGAAGTCGAAGTGTTTCTTCACAGGGGTGGGGGAATTGGGGGATGTGAAGGTTGCGGTGTTGCCGTTGATGGAAGTAAGGTCGTGTTGGAAGAGACCTTCTACGCCGCGTTCTACGCGGAGCTTTTCGAGCGTTGCTGCGCTGGTGGGGTGTTAGCACATTTCTGCCTCGTTTGCATACTGGCAGGTAGAGAAGACGACTTACTATTTCGGCACACCGAACATCGTAGGCAACCCCGTCGCAAAAGCGACGTTGATATCCTTCGGATACAGCCCAGCATCCTTCCAGTAATCCAACGCAAGCCACATGATCTTTTGCGGCGCGCCCGCACACTTGACCACACCAGCTGGCTGTGTGAACACCGCCTCACCCTTTTTGAACTTCTTCACATTCTCATACGCCTTATCGCAATACGCATAGTCGTAGATCGTGCTCACCATAGCATCTTTCTCCTCCAACGCCTCCTTCAACCCACTCACACTACCATAGTCAAGCGTGATACCGGGCACAACAACCAGCTGTTCATACCCAATCTTCTCGCCGTTACTGGTCAGGACGTAATTTTCCTCTGGTGCAAAGCTTCCTACAGCGCTGTTGTAGAATTTGAAGCGTGGATCCATGAGCTCTTTCAAGGGGCGGCGCAGATCTTCTTTCTTTTTTAGACCGCCGCCTACGAGCGTCCAGCCCGGTTGGTAGTGGTGCCATTGCGCGGGGTCTATGATGGCGATGTCGTCTTGGGAAAAGTTTCCTTTGCGCAGGAGTTGGTGAGAGAGGGATATGCCGGCTGAGCCGCCGCCGATTACGACGATTTTGTGGTTGCGGGTCGTTGTTTGTACTGGTGATACGGTTGCTAGATTGCGGATGGTGTGTTGGAAGGCTGGTCGCGTGATCTTGGTCGCGGTTTGCGATGCACGTTTGAGGGTTAGTGCGGACATGGTGGCTGGGTTTGGCGACTGTCCGCGAAGGCTAGGAAGGGAAAAGGAAAAGTGGAATGTAAAGACAGACAGGAAGGCTTACACAAAGAGGTATGCGGTGCCTCCGGTCTTCGACTAAACATTTCATGCCATGTGGGTCAGCGGCTAGCAATTCAGGAACGACCAATGGATGAGGTGGAGATGGGTACTAGCGTGATCACGACATCGTACGACCAGTAAGCCAGCAGTCACAACCAAACACCACAATCACGACGAGGTACGAATGTAAGTATACACAACATAACATTAACTCATTTGAATCATGAAAACTATATAACAGACATCCAATCCCAGCGACTTTT